AAAAAAATGAGGGATACTAGTGCAAAATTTTTCTGCAATTTTTAGACTCAGTTTATAAGCTCGGTGAGCCTCTGCCCATCTTTACTTCTCAGAAACCCCGCCCTCCTAATCTGTTCGTTTTAGAACTATTCATGTTACCGAGCTGCTACCAATAAACCCAGTTAGTCTCCAGCTGTTCCTCCAGCTGTTTTGTTTAGTACCACTTACTTTCCCCACTTTTTTTGAACTGTGCTTCTGCCATTAAATTCAAAATGAGCTAATTTTCCATGAAGTACTAAACTGTGTCATTTTAAACATTCAATGTTCTTATTATAACTCTATTGTGAATATGCTTCTATGAGATTTTCAAGTCATTACATTCTGTTATTATTTACATTTTACATATTTGTCACAACTGTTCCCCACTGGGAACTGTGGTCATAAAATAGAGGATGACACATTATCATACCTCACGGCTTACTCATCTACTTACCCCCCTCAGCGGATGGGTTCAACACCACACTCCAAACTTCGGTCTTCTGCACTCCATCGAGCTGTTTGTATCAGGAAAAAAGGTTTTGATTCAAGAAGATATGTCTTACTTATTAATTCTAAGCACACAGAAAATGCCAGTTTCATCACGCAGTCACTTACCACTACCCGTAAAAGCTTCTGGATACGGTCTCCTCCCGCCATGTCTCTCCCGAGCACCATCACCTCCAAGGGATGTTTTCCCACCACCAGCGGCACAATGGTGTACGGCACAGCTATCGAAGAGCCAGCTGGCACTGTCACTTCCTGTGTGTGTCTGTCCTTGAAAGCAATGCTGCACATGCCTTCAGTCTTCATGAGCACCACCCTGACCTGAGCAGAAAGCGATCAGCCGTTACAGAAGAAGAAGCTGGTAATTTATGAGAAAAAGTAAGTCAATAATCTTACATGTAGTTCCTCAGAGCCGTAGTTATGGACCACAGCTTTTATTTCAACCTGTTCGTGTCTCGCCACTGAAAACGGCAGCTTCAGCTCCACAAAGAAACGTTTCCACGCTCTGAAGTTGTGGGGCTCCGCAACACAGAAACCTGCAGATTCACAAGATGGTGAAAAACGTCTGTGAGGGATTAGGAGTCTAACAATTTCTCTATCATTCGGGTTGATGATAGAAACCAGGATAGTTTGGAAACTTAATCGTACAGCATTGTTTGCCACTGTTTGTTTTCACCTGGAGCTGATGGAGGTAGAGCACATTCACTCTGTTGCCAAGTGTGAAAGTATATTATTTTCTTTTGCTCTGAGAAATTGGTGGTTGACAGAATGTGAAAAACTTTGTCCTTAACTTTTAGTTAAACATAGAAAAGCAAAACTTATTTTTAAAAAAATGGTTAATTTAAGAATTGGGTTGATTTTTGATTGTTGCCAGGACACAATATTTCTTATTGATATAAGACATCCCTACAAATCATGCTTTAATCTTACACGGTAGCGTAAAACCTGCTGTCATTTCCTCCTGATTAAACTACTGTAACTCCTTATACACTTGATTGAGCCAATAAAATACACACTGTCTGGAACAACCTCATAGAGGAAATCTGATCACAGTATCTTCCAAAACACTCTTAAGTTAACATTTGTATACATTTCTCACTGACTCTTCTTTTATGTTGTTTTTTTTAATAATATTTTATCATCTCTCCTCTCCAGATCTCTCCTGTCTCTCTCACTATGTCTATCTCACTTTGTAAAGTATTATGTCAATGTGTTTTGAAATACGCTATATAAATATTGTGTATTATTACCACTATTACAAAAAAGTGTTGTAACAGTATATCCATGTTCATAATCAAACATAACGATAATTTTTAGATAACATCCTTTTTTGGCATTACACAAAATAACCGTTTTTTATCTGGAAGTTTAAAAGTGTTTCCCATTAAAGCCAGACTGCATCAGTTTCCAAAAACTGAGTCCCCAACCAGTTAAGCACTTTGATTCCCAGTTCGCTGTCATCTCACCTGTGTGGGGTGATGCACTGACAGCCAGAAGCCCCCATTCTGTGATGCTATCAGGTAAAGGGTCCCCCATTGTCAGCGAGGCCAGCCTGTTGATAAGATCCATGTTATTTTTTAATCTTCCAATAGATTCAAGCTCAAAACTACAAGTAGACAATTGCTATACTATATTATACTGTGTAGAAATTTTGCATACTCAACAGAAAATGTGTACAGTATAGATGTCTAAATATATATTTAAAGTAAGATTTAAAAAATAAATAAACCTTTTACAGTTAATACACAGAACATTTAATTTTAAGTAAAGTTTTTCTTTTTTGTTTGTTTGTTTTTTGCTGTTAACAAACAACAAATCAGTGTTTAATCACTAACTGGTAATCCATCCCATTAGTTTGAGTCTTTATTTCAGAAGAATAACATTTGGTAATGATTAACTAATGAATAATGGAGTACACTGAATTTTACTTTCCACTAATGTCACTAGACTTAAATTTATTTATGAACTTACCACCTATGACACCAAACATGCCGTATATAATAAATAAAGCACTGACTAATAAATTAACATGAATTAAATATTACTAATCACCTGTGTATATTAGTTATCATTGTTAGCTGAAACATAACTAGCCGCTAACAATTCATTAACTACCAGTTTACTGTAGTACGAGTTATGATTATGGCAGTTAAAAAATGACACTTCTCACTCTCTTTTATCTCTATTAAACTGCAGTGAAGGTTTCTGAAGTTTCAGCAAACAATCTATAAAACATTAACTTGGTTCTAGACACTGGCAGATGGTTTTCACAGAGCAAGCACGACACAGATACACTGCAGGAATTTGTGTTACTACATTGTGAGTGTACGCACACACACCGATGGTCACGATGGTGAAACACAGAATGATGTTGTGTTTTCTGCACTTAGAACTGTTTGTTCTGCTGTTATCACTGACCGAACAGCACGATCCCGCTCGCTTAAAAAAACGTTTTTTTCTTTTATCAGACAGACAGATTGAGAGAAATCAGTGAGCGATGATCCTCCTAATTAGTCCATTAATCTGTGGATGTTGACAGAAGGACAGCATTTAAAGCCAAGTCTTGTAAACTTTTCAAACATTTAAGTGTTGCAGCAACACGTGTTTAAAAGTCTATTAGTTCAGTTCGATTTGATTCACTCTATCACACCAAAACACAACAGTATTCGCCTCAAGGACCTTTATATTGTGAGGTACAATCAAAGTCTTTAAAGGTCAATGGATATGAAATACTGTGTTCCTGCTAACCCACAGAAAAGCTGGTTTACTGTCTATTTTTATCAGTGACGATGAATCATGATATTTTACAAACCGAGTCACACACTGCTAGTAGAGTGTACACCGCAGTCAAATTAACCCACTGAACTTGAGTTCAGTTTTTTCCCACTGGAGCCCACATGATATTAAAGCATCTGTGACTAATATTTTCCTCCACCATGCTTTCACACTGTGATAAATTTGGTTTAATATGATTTACATGCAAGTGGGAGCAATCACAAAGGCTACACTAAGGGTGGATATTTGCATTATTGTGATGCGCTAACTTTGGATTTGCCGAGAGCTGGTACTGATCCGTGTTAGTCTCTGTGCTTGAGTTTTAAGATTTCATTCAGGTGGTTTATCACTAAAGAAAAAGCCATTACCAGTGTCCACGATGAAGGGGTGAGAAGTAAGTGTCGGAGAGAAAGGCAGTATATGACGATGCTTTAAATGTCGGACTAGTGGAAAGTTAAAAGTATTAATGAACAGAGATGGGCAGTAACACATTACAAGTAACACGTTACTTTTTTCAAAGAACGAGTAAAGTAAGGGATTACTATTGCAAAAAAGTAATTAGATTACTATTACTTTCCGGTAAGCACGCTGCGTTATGGTTACTAAAACGTCATTGTGTTCGTGAGTATGTCTCATGACAATGACATGAGTACGTGCAACAGACGTGTGTAGATCAACATGCAGCGTTTAAAGCTTGGAGGTACTGACATTACTTTTAGTTTAATTCCGTAAAAAGTGGCAAAAACATTAGCGTCTGCTGTACACTATTTTCAAGTAATTTGACCAACATTGTTTATGACTCAAGTACTCAACAGTGGTTTAATTGCATGTCCCGCTTTGCAGCTGAAACAACCAGGTTACTAACTAACCAATCAGACTTGTCTTCATTAGACGTAACCTCTGGTCTAATCATTTACTCACCCGTCTCTGCTGTCTCTATCTGCCTGATTGGGCAGGTTAACATCCATCCACATCCAAGACTCATAGAACTTGGAACGCAGATATACGTCAGCCTCATCTGTATACTCTTCTTCCTCTTCGCCTTCTTCGATGATCTCTTTTGCAATTGAACTAAGCACATTGTATTCATCCTCTGTTTTCCTCACATTTGTCTCAAGGTACACTTCACGCCCAGTTGGTCCAGGCTGGCCGGGAAGTGAACGCAATACTTCAGTTTCAGGTCCAGGTGGTCCAGGTAGTCCAGGCAGTCCAGGCAGTCCAGGTCGTCCAGATAGTGCAGGTTGTCCAGGTGAAAGATATATCCAGTCTGTAATATTTGAATATATTCACACAGTTATGCACATAGTGTTTTAGACAACACCCAGCAGATTGTTAATCAAACAATCATGATGTGATTAAAGTGTAAGCGTTTAGCTTTTACTGGTGTTGACTTCACCCATAGTTATTATTGGAGAAATTAGTGAAATGTTTTTTTGTTTCTTTTTTTTTACATAATAAATAAAATGTTTCTGTAGAACATGAGGTGTTCCTAAACTCTAAAAATCTATTGGCGATCTCAGTAGATGGAGCAGGAGATGCCTTCTGCCCTGATCAGAGAGTTTCAGTGCTGCGAGTAAAAGAGGGCAAACTGGCGCTCCACAGGAAAACAGTAAATGTCAAGCAGACTGTTTTCCTAAGAAGCAGCTCCCAGTAAGCTAGCAGAGGTCAATGTCCTTAAACTGAGTTTAAGGACATTGTTTTAGGACAAAGTTTTCGATTAGTGCCAAATCTAGAAATGTGGCTCTTTAAATCGTAATATGAACTATTTTTGATTAACTATTTTATTGTTATACTGCTAAATTTTAAATTAAATGCAAAAAGCTTTGACATATCAAGCTAAAATCAAAGATATGAATGCCAAATTGATGAGAATGAAGTATAGAAATTACGGAAGTTCTCTCGCGAGAGATGTATTCTCCGATGTGGCGTAATAATGTGAGCAGCAGAGGTGGTGGGAACAGGTGTTGTAGTGGGTGACGGTGTCGTAGGAATCTCCGTGTTAAACGGCTGGTCCCTCAGTGTGGCGCAGCAATAGCGGAACGCCCGGATGCACTCCCATCCTTCAGTGATGTAGAGGGAGCGTCGTGTGCAAGAGTACGGCATCGGGATCTCCCGAAGGCCATCTTTACAGCAACGATACTGCAGCTTCTCCTTGTAGTGACTCTCTGGAGGCAAAGGGGTGGAAGAGAGGTAAGCAGCAGGGTCAGCACCAGTTGTATGATACTCTGTATTTTGCAATTTCTGTGTTAATGAAATGCCAAATTCTAAATGTCTAAAAGTGCGTATAATAAAATTGTTGATAATGTTGCCCCGCATCTGCTGTTTAACCATATAACATTTAATGAAATTCACCTTCTCTTAACCTAATTATTTATTTGATGCCATAAATTTCACACTAATGTTACAAGGTGGAAAAGCAGAGAAAGCAGAGTTAAACTGCAGGCACAATTTATACGAGCTAATCTCAGCTGACTAAAAAAACAGACAGCACTCACCCAGCTGTGCTTTACGTCGCAGCAGTTCAGCAGAGCGCCGCCTTCTGGCATTGCCTGGACACTGCATGGCTGGGGGAAGAAGAGTAGAATAACACTATTAATCTTTGTATACATAATCAGGGTTTAAGGTGGGATTTGTGAAGTGTTGAGACATCTGGCATGGTGGTGTAACACGGGGAGAAGAATAAGGCTACGTCCACACGTAC